TGAAGATGTGCTGTAAAAAACTAGTACCTCCGAGGTACTAGTTTCCAGAAACCGCGGGGCATGGGCGGGCGTCTGATCGCGTTTCCGGTGGTAGTTCCAGTGCCCGCCCATGTCCCCTCGCAAAAAGGTTCCCCCCCAAGTCTCCATGGATACGCACAAGCACCCAACGGAGCATGCGCACACTTTAGTTTTTAAAAAACCCCACAACCCCGATTGTCCTGTGATCGGCACCTCCCCCCTAACCACGGGACCTCCATGGGACGTCTGCTCGCGCAACCGTGTGTTATTTTGCCCCGGGGCAAACAGCCACGCTCCCCCCCCCTGCATTGAAGTCCCTCCCTTCCTGGCATTAAAAATTAAATTAAAATTAAATATTTCGATTTCTTATACCGCCCTAACCCCCGTGGGGGTCTCTGAGCGGTTTACATTGGAGGTGCTAGCCACATGTTACTTCCCTAACTACGGCCACATTCTACAAGGGGGATGGGACATCCTACCAGCACCTAGGTGGTGGCTGATCTTTCCGGCTTCGGCTCAGTCTGCTCCTGTCTTTCTTCTCCGGCGGGGCGTCTCCTTCGGCGCTTCAGGCAGGTAGCTTTCCACGGCGTGCAAATCCGCTCTCCTTGGGCCCGGCTGTGTCCCTTCGGCTCCACCACGCCTGGGGATGACGTCATCACGCGCCTCTTCCGCAACGGCGATGGCCGCTTCGATGTTCCACCGCTGGCCACCAGGGATCACTCGTCATGGCTCCTTTCGCCGCGCCCCCGTCCAGCCATCTCCGCTGCCGGGACTCCACTGCAACCGCCGTTCTGCCGCCATTGCTGTTATTCAGCCGCCGCACACCACACACCTCATGAGAGGAGGGTGCCCCCTACCCTTCTAAGGGTAGGTATCCATTTATTCATAGAGCACGTAACTCTATGTAATCTCTTGCTGTCAGAAAAAGCCACTTCAGGATGAGGCCATTTGTTTGTGATTGCTTTAAGGCTCACAAGAATTCATGACCTGGCATGGGGGGGGGGGAGCGCAATAATGTCAGTATTGAAGGAGTAGGTGTGGGTTGGATCCACCAGAGCATTTCCATGGACAGAAGGGCTCCCGTCCCCAGAGCGCAAATGTCTTGCCTCCTCCCTCCTGCTGCAGCCCAAATTGTCCACCATGAAATGCTGTTCCTTGGGGTCTCCTGCACCCCAAGAACAGAATTTCAGGGGGTATTTGGACTCTAGAAGGAGTGGAGGAAGCAAGGAAGTTGTGCTCTGAGGGTGGAAATCTTTCTGTCCACATAAATGTCCCAGTGGATCCCGACCTGCACGTTTGTGTATGTGTGTATAAATTGTGTGTGTGTGTATAAATCTCTCTTGAAATAACTGTCATTTTTTAAAACTAGAAGCATATGTTGCTGTCTAAACAGTTAATACAAGTAAAGTAGTCTTGTACAGAAAAATGGCTGAAACGATAACAGTGATGACAAAGTATGGTATCTTGAAAGAGAAACAGTAAAATTTTGACATTTTTTTTTACACAGCCCCTCCACATCCTCCTCATTACACCAATTACCAAAACCTGGTGTTTGTTTAATGAGATCTTTCTAGGGCCTCATAAGGGAATATTTCAATCTGCTAATGCCTGAATAAGGCACAGAGAATTGTTAGTCACTAATGCGATGAATGATTTTGTTCGTGTGTGTGTGTCTGTGCATGTGTACATGCATGTTTCCTCCAATACCCCAAATGCTATTAGAGCCCATCATGTTTACCTGTGTGATCCATGCTCTCCCATCAGCATGCCTTCACATGGCCGAATATACTGAGATGCGAGACGAACACCGAACTAAAATTCTTAATTTACTAATTCATATTCATCAAATTATAAAAAGAAAAACCTGCATTTTTATGAGCACATTTACATAAATCATTTGCTGAAGCATCCTAACACTAAATGGTCAGAGCCGAGCATAAGTGTGTCCCTTCTCGGATGTGAAAATATTGGCGTTTCAGATTTTCATGGAAAAGCCTGGCTGCGCTGGAACTCTAATGGGCTTAGAACAGTAAATTTTGAAGAAACTGATTGCTACCCCTGTAGCTAGTAAATGTCTGTCTAGACCCAGTGGCATTTGAAAAAAGTGTTTTATCATAAAATTATCCCAGCAGAGTCCATTCTGCAAGATAACATCATCATCATCGCCATCATCATCAGTACTCCGTGCAGGACCCAACAGCTCTGGCACAATATTGCCAGTCATTTATCTGTTGTCAGCACAGGTTACACACTGTAATCCTTGACTGCCTCGGAATTAGAATGTCTTTGATGTCCCCACAAGAGTTTTTTGCCCGAAGGCTTTACCAATGCTCGGCGGCTCAGTGTTTATTCCTCGTAATCTTCCTCTCATCTCCAGGCTAGCAGTGACAGATGGTTATGGGCACACAATAGTATTAAGAGTTTGATATTTTTTTTTTATGCTGTGCTCTCTGTACAACAAATAGCTATCAGACGCGGGCCAGAGAGCTGACATGGCTCGCTTAGGTAATGGCAAACAAACAGCTCGGGTTGATGCTTTCTGTCATTTTCCCTGCTAACCCTGCTTGTTTTCATTGTATACTCTCAAAGGTAAACTATATTAACCTTATAGACTGTTATTAAAAAGATATATCTATATGAGCATAAAATGCCTCCCCCCCTCTTTTTCTCACTCTTTTGATTATGAAAGTAATACTGCTGACATATTGAACAAATATCGAATGTCAACATAAATTTTTAGTATGTGATAATATTCCCCTTCATATAGCCGTGTGTCAGACGGGAACCCGTGGATGATGCATAGCAGTAAATAACCCAAACAAAATTAGTTCTCTTGTCAGCTTCTACCTTGTATGTCCCCAGGCATCAGTAAAATTGACTGCACGCTAGATTTTCAAAATTAGCCCTAATGTTAGCTGTGTGTCTGGCAACCTCCAAGTTTCCAATGTTCTACTATATTACCCATAAGGATGAATGTGTTACTTTTATATTTTGGCACTTTATCTTGCTGATGTGGCTTTTTCCCTCCCCCCTTCTCTTCTTCAAATTAAAAATAATTTAGCTTTAACAATAACCATGTGCACAAACACAAGGCTGCATCTCTTTAAGCAACTAACTTTAGGCAATTAAATTAAATTAAACAAAAAACCAACCCCAAATATACACAGAAATAAAAGGAATTATTCAATTTAATATCGCTCATTTTATTAACTTAGCTGTGCGTTCCTTCATGCAAAACGCAGAATAAATTGTGCGTCGGGGTGTGTGTGTGCTTTGTTTCCTATTTAGTCTGCAATTTTTATGTGGCATGCTCAGAGAATCATAACAGTTTCGACTCAATATACACCTTTATATGGTGAAAAAGGTCAACTACGAACTCCACTGTCAGATTAGTAAACTTTGTATCCCCTTCCACAAATGGGAGATGCAATAAGTATCTGTCGTTAGTACATCATATTGTAAAACCACCGATGAGAATACAGGATTTTTGAGTTTGCAGCAATAAAATATGATTAAAAATAAATGTAGCTCCCTGAGAAAGGCTGTATGGGAAGTGTGAAGTTGCTTAAACAAATCCAAAGACAGATTCCACATCGACTTCCAATCTCTAAATTTTATGTTCAGACATTTAGAATCAAAGATGAAAATCCCTTTAGGTACCAGATGCTGCAGATCATCTGGGAGAGCTTCTGGAGTTTTAATGTGCTGGAAGTCAAATCCTCCACAAAGGCGATTTGCCCTGTCGGTGTGGTGTACTTATTGCTTCACCTGCAAACAGTTGCTCTCAGAAAATCTGACTTACTGATCGACCCGGCATCTCTGGAAAAAACAGACTATAATCTGTGGATGAAGTGAACTCTAATCAGGCCACATGCAGATTAAACAAACTGTGAGGAATAAAAACTAGATTAAAATGTTCGTGCCCAATACCAGAAGATTATCAGGACATTTTACCTCTTTAAATCCTAATTTATGGTGGGAGCCAAGCTAAAGTTTCTGTGCTTGCAGTGATTATGTGGCATGGTAGATTTCCCTCAGTTTAGAGAAGATTTTGCAATCAGGTATTTGTGTCAACAGCTTGAAAAGCAGTGGTTTTCCTGCAGCATATATGCATATATGCATGTTTTAAAAATCTGGACAGGTAGATTAAAAAGTAAGACACAGAACAGCATAGTACCGTCCTGAATTTTAACACCTAGTCAGTCGCACTGGGATGATTAAGATAATATAAATTAACACTGCATATTAAATATCATTAGTGGACTGAAAATGCTTTGAAACAGAATCCCTAGCATTTTATATATAATTTCAATGTCACTGCTACACATTCTTTCCCTCTCCCTATTTTCCCTTGGATTCTGAAAGGCAGCAATGAGTTTCAGCATTAAAACATCTTGATAACTACTGTAAATGATTGATTTTGTAATCAGCAGGAACATTGGCACTTATTTGACTGTGTATTTCCTCCAATGGAGTGGCATTTTTGCTTGCTAGAGACGAAGCGGCAATTAACGCCATCCTATTGCAGACTCCTCATGCTATTCCTGAGGTGCCACAGACCCACAGAAATAAAATGGAGGGGGGCTCCATGGGCTACAGCAGAAGGGAGAAGTGAGAAAGACCAGTTCCACAAACTTCATGGATTGGTGGATACATGCCATTATCTTTACAAACACAGATCATCAAAAGTCAAACTACATCATTATTAAACTGAAGTGATATCCAGTGTCAATGATGCTCTACTCCTTAATAAAACCAAAACCACTGGACTGAATTGAAACCTCATTTTCTGTTGCTAGAAGGGCAGGCTACAATTTTCACCAGTCCATCCCCACCCATGCAGACCCCTATATTTTGCTCAGTGCTGTCCCTGAAATCCCCCTGACCCCTGGGGCCAACATCTGAGGGGCTTTGTGGGGGGCAGCTCTTCTCGTGCAACTTTGGTCCCAACCCAATGCATTTTAATTTGGTATTATGCTTACCACCTGTGAGGCCAAACGATGTGCAAAGGTTTCTGCTGACGCTCCAGTTCTCCTGGGGTTCTGCAAAGATTACAAGTTTCATGTGGCTTATCTTCTTCTTGACAATGACTTGCGCTTTTGGAGAAAGTAGGCTCGTTCAGTTCCCTTGGTGTTGTTGGCAGGTTATGCAGTCTCTCTTGCAAAGAGGAACAACATTCTGTCTGTGTTTTGCAATCAGCAGACCTCATGTCTGAGTTGCTATCTTTTGTTAAACCCATAGTTCTCTCATTCTTTTCTTGGGAAGGCAGACTCATGAATGGGTCAGGATTTCCATTTCCTTTAGCTCCAGGTGTGTTCTCATTAAGGGCCAATTTGTGTTCTGGCATAAACCTACGATTAAAAAAAGTACAATTTTATATTTGAAACAAAGATAAGGAGGTCCTGAAACCTGTCAAAGATCCAGAACTGTCCAATATTTTCCATAGATTTAGGAGCACTGCACTTGTCGGATGTGGCACAAGAAACAGAATTCTAGTCACCAGGAAGCATGGGTTCTCAAACTGACATATAGAGCATATTTAAAGCAATTACCATTTAATCCTCAACAAACTGCAAATAAGCAGGGCTACTTCACTGCCACATGGAAGCCACTTAAATACTTCTGCCTGTGGATCATTCTAACATGTCTGAAAGCCATTCACCACATGAAGGGTTTCAATCACAAGGAGAAACTCCATGTCAGCTCCGTCAAAACAAAACAAAACAACCTTTTGGATACGGCAGCCGTGATGCAAGATGTTTTCAGAGAAGCAATGGCAGGCAGTCTGCAGAGACTTAAACCAAAGTTCTCGTGGTCTGAGAGGCTGCAGTATAGTCGGCTACCCTGGACTGTGTGTACTCAGACCTCATACCCCTCTTCAGGCACAGAAATAAGGGGGGAGTGAAACATTGTATGCAGCCTTTGGATTGTCCAGGCCTAGTACTAAGAACTGTAGTTTTTTGCCTTTGCTTGGCCTATGGAACAATACTCTCCGCCTGTAAACTCCAGGTTCCAGTCATCCATTTTCTCCGGCCTTTGGTTTCCTCTTAGCCATTGACCTCTGGCACCCTTATTTAGAAAACACAATCATGCGGTCAAGATTTGAGTACAGCTGCACAGAGTCCTGGCCTTGGGCTGACACACTTTCCCTCAAAGTGCTTGCTTTTGTTACCACAGAATGAGACTGAGTAAGGACTGGACAACCTAACCTGATGCAAGAACTCCCTGAAGGATGTATTCTACAGATCCAATTATTTTTTAAGGAAAACAGGATGTTGCTTCACTGAACATCAAACAATGTAGGGGTACACAGCTAATAATAACTATTATAAGGCACTGTGTGTAGTATAGCCAGGAAATCCTGTGATTGTCTGGCAGCCTGAAGTTCTAACTCTTTTAATAGTATGCACCACTAGGTGGCAAGTTTTGGGCTGAGAGAGCTCTGAGAGCTGTGACTGACCCAGCTGGCTACATGTGAAGGAGTGTGGAATTGAACCCGGTTCCACCGCGCTTAACCACTATACCACGCTGGCTCTCGGGTAAACAGCTGCTTGCATTATATTGACTGGAAATCATGAATTGGTATACCATCTTCTGGCTCAACCCACACTGTAATGGAATTTGGAGGAGACTTATACTTCTCTTTCACAACTGCCATTTCTATCCAAGAAAGCTACAACTAATAGAATAAATGATACAAGTCAGGAAAGAAGATTATCACACATCTTCCAGGAATTTTCTTCTAAACTGAACGTAAAGAAATGCCTACAAGAGACAGGAAGGAAGTCGGCTTCCTGGCCATACTTTTGTTTCACTACTCAAAAGAACAAAGTCTGTCTGGCAGTCTGGGACAACCGTAGGAGTGGCTTTCGTATTATGCCCACTGTTCATCTGCAGTAGAGAAACAGTGAATTGAGGCCATAATTTCAACAATATCAAGGTTTTACTCAGTACTAGAGAGCTTGAAGAATTAACAATTCAACACCAGCAATAAAGATCATTAGCATTTTTAGTACTAGCAGACAATAAAAAATATGTTTGCATACAAATATAAAGAATGCTTGTCAGCAAAATTGAGTTAATTGCAACATAGCCTTAGTGGTCACCGGGGCTGCCAACTGGCCAGGCATAGCAGAACTAGGCAAGTCATGAGATTTGTTTGCATATGCTGTTTGACTTGGGTCTGGGGGGTATCAGGAGAGGGCCAAAGGGACATCTTTGTCTGGGATCCTGTGATGACTCTCAGCAGCACTAGGGACTATGCTTGGTACAACACACCACAGGCCTAATGCCTTTTTTTTCAATTCAATTCAATTTATTACAGGTCTTTATGACCGAAGTCTTGACCAAGAGGATACCAAAGGGGGATAAAATAGGTACATAAAATAGACATAAATATGTCAAGGTACATAATAACAGTCACATAAAATCCAGGCTGAGCCCAGAGATTAAAAATAACCTAACTACACTTGGGGCGGAGCCAACTAACTAAAATCATCCGAAGATTAAAAATCGGTGTCGAAGTTTTCAGAAGTGCTGGACTTTTCAATGCTTCTTGAGAGCAGCCACCTTAGCCAGGAACCGCGCCACGTTAGCTGTTATCAGTCCATCGGCATTTGAGTCAGATAACCGTACTGAGAGCACCCAAGGTTGCGCGGGAAGATTCTTGCCTTTTTGATGTGTACTAGAGTAGCATGATTTTTTAATATCTGTCACCGATCCTGTTTTCTATTAGACTCAGGCTCTGCTAACTGCTCTCCCAAGAGACACAAAACCTCTTTACAACATCAGTTGCTGTCTCTTTTTCTGCTTGTATGTAGAAAACTTCTCTCTAACTTCCCTAACCTGCCAGCCTCTGCTCTTTGCCTTGCTTTCAGCTACTGTATTCCTCCACCTTTGTCTTTCTATATATTCACTCTTCAGGTGTCCCTGATAGGGTTCCAAGCTCCCAGCGGGGGTTCCCCTACTTTTGGGGGCTTTGATCCACTTCCGGCCAGTGGGGGAAACCCCACCCCCAAACAGGGACATCATCGAGCAATGTCCCCTGATGCGATGATGTCACCCAGAAGTGATGTCATTGTGTCAGTGATATCACACATGACACTCTGGTTTTTTTGCAAACTCTATGGTTTTGAACGCAAAGGCCCACAGAGTTTTGCCCCAAAACCAAAGCATTGCACATGACATCATTGCAACATTCTGCCCACCCTCAGAATGCCGCAGAAATCCCCCCACCACGATGGGGAGGGGACCTGGCAACCCTAGTTCCTGAAGCCAGAGTGGTGTAGCGGATAAGAGTAGCAGACTCTAATCTGGAAAATCAGGTCTGATTTCCCACTCCTTCACAGGAAACCCTCTGAGTGACCTTGGGCCAGTCACGGTTCTCTCAGAATTCACTCAACCCCCCCGACCCCCCAAGGTGCCTGTTGTGGGGAGAGGAAGGGAAAGTCGCTTTGAGACTCCTTAGGGTAGAGAAAAGCGGAATATAAAAAACCTACTTTTCTTCTTCTTCTTCTTCCTAGCTTAGTCTGTCCTGTGTTTGCTATATGCCATTTTATTTTTATTTTTAATAAACCTTAGATGGTTACTTCCAGAATCCACTTTGTCTCTCAGATGTTGACCTGTGTAGTTGACTTTGCTCTCTAAAAACTGCTTCTACCAATCTGTAGGAAGCTAACTTTAAACCACAATTTGAATTTAAGAATTCCTAAATCTCTGCTTGGTTTAAAAGACCAGGTGAAATTTAATCCCCATTCCTTGTATCAGCAGAAGACAAAAAAAAAAAAAAAGAGGTGATTTTATTAGATTCCCTTGTCTTGCAGAACATTTTGCTTCCAAGATTCTCCTGGTCTTCATAGACGAATTATGGGACAAATAGTAGCCTACCTGAGAAAGATCCACTCTGCCAATGACTTCCATGAAATCTTCCAGTGGGTCCAATCAATAAATGATATTATAAGTATATTTAAAAACTGGCTAGTGCTTGTGCTCTGTAGTGACTTTTATTTCCTTACCAAAATTCTGTTTTTTCTCCCAAGTTATACAATGTCTCACTTAAAGCTATTTTCCAGTTTCCAGTCTTCATAAATCCACTGTGGGATGTTAGAATACCTTTTATGCAATACGTACATGGAAAGCCCAAGTGAAATTAGGACACTGCTATCTACTTGCATCGCACACATAATATTAATTTCCTTGACTATTTTTAAGAAGTCATTTTGGAATGCCAGTTTATTGAATGGTTTTTATAACAAGATTTATTTTATGAGGTATGAAGGAACAAGAATTATCTGCATTAACGTGGCACTGTTTTGGCACAAAGTAGTTCTGTTATTAGCAATAGTGTAGACATGATAAAGCATGCAGGCAGAGAGCCACAGACATACCAGCGTAGCATTAATGAAAAAATATTTTTTTAAAAATTAATTAGAAGATATTTACTTAGTTTAGACATTTGAGCATTCACTAAGCTTCATTATGTCTAAAAACATCACACCTTTCATAATCCCTCGAAGACAAAACTGCATATATCACAAATTATACACAGTATAACCTCTATTGTCAACATGACAGGAACGAGGTAACAGACAATCTATTTCCTGACTGCAGCTTAACCAGTCTTGTACAAATCTTGAACAAAGCATTTGTTCAAATGCTTGAACAGATCTTTAGAACTTAAAAAACAAACCTGGACTGGGCTTTATTCAGTCTGATGTAGCACTTCTAGCAAAAGTGCATGGACATATGATAAGTAAATACATTTTTATACAACCTGATAAAGAAGAAATGTAAAGTATTGTTAGGATTATGCCAAGAAGTGGCATCAGTTCCCACAGAGTGCGATAAGGAAAAGTTGTATCAGAACCACTCATGGTAGAGTAGATTGTAGACTAACTACAATGTGGTATCCATGACTGGTTCAAAAAAAGTAAAGAAGTAAATGGTCTGGATCCTTAAAAAAAAACAAAAAACAGACCCTACAATCAAAAGTTTACCAAAGGGATTTTTGCTGCCTTTCCACTTGCAGTCCCCTGTCCCCTCCCCTACAACTTGGGAGTCTGAGAGCCTTGGAAACTCACAAAAAGTAGTGTGAATGGTGATTTTTGCACAAGTCCCTGCTGGCTGCAGTCCACAGTAACATATCCCATGGTTGGACTGATGTTTTCCCATTACTCAGTAACATGCTTTTGTGGGGAGGGTGGGGTACAAAATGAATAAATAAATAAATTTAACCTTGAACTTGTTCGTAGATCATGGATTGAAAGTGGGCATGCTGTCTTCAAGGATTTAGAAGAAAAGTGAAGATTTACCATGTCTCCTTTCCTTACCAACACCTTTGCAGCTTTGTATG